AACTCTACTCTAGTGCAATAATAGTAACAAAAGAAACTCAACTCTGGTGCAATGACAGTAACAAAGTTAATTCTATTCTAGTGCAATGACAGTAACAAATGTATCTCTACTCTAGTGCAATAACAGTAACAATAGTAACAACGAACGAAAAAAGAGAAGAGAGGAGGTGTCTCAAGTTTAATAAACGTATCTTTGTACAGAATGCGCTCACAGTGAATTTACACATATTAACTATCTTATGATTAACTAAAGCTAAACGCACGCAACTTAAAGCTAAGACGCACGCATCCCACGATGTCCATGCCTGATCCCTCGTCGTCCATCGGTGGGGGCCCAATAGTTTACTTATCAACTAATTGTTCCTACAGTTCAGTTTAGACCGTAAAATAAAGAAAAGAAAGACATTTTCGCGGTCTAAACTGAACTGTAGGTTGCGTAGTTCTTAGCTTGATACCATTTCACAAACATTGAAGTTTATCGTTTTATAATTTAGTTTGATAACGTTTTACAAACTATAATGTTTGTAAAACAATATTAATTACCAGGTCTCACCACGGGGAGGTGACTACGCACGAGACCCGCCCCGGGCCCTAATCCCAACCACCCTCCATTACATTCAAGCAACTCGGCATTCTTAAGGAATGCAGAGATTTTATTCTACTTGGCCCGGAGTCACAAAGGAGACAGACGTTCCGTAGTTCAATCTCAAGCTTAACTCTAAAACGCAAATATGAGATTGAACCAGGGACCTCTGTCTTCCAAATAACGATCGCGTTAATAATAAGTTCACATCCCGCACAATCATACAATGCATACAATACATGAAATAATACAATCATACATTACATGTAATGCATACCATTCATACATTTCATACAGATCATACATTTCATACAGTTCATACAGTTCATACACTTCATACAGTTCATACAATTCATACAGTTCATACAGTTCATATAATTCATACAGATCATACAACTCATACAATTCAACCAATTCATGCTATGCACACAATTCATACCATGCACATAATGCACACAATACATAGAATCGTACAATGCTTACAATAACTGTACAATAATTCGTAGCCCTACCAGCGCATTTTGTATCAAAGACACATTTATTAAACTTTGATCGAAATTAGGGAAACGAAACTATTGACACGCTTCAATATCGTGCCTTGTAAGAGACACAACGCGAAATGAAACCGCGATTTGTCAGTGTGCCAAATCGGGTTCCGAGCACTTAGAGGCAAGTAGTTTCGCGCTACCCCCAACGACACAGTGGGGTTCCGAAGAACCACTGGAGTCGGATTACAAAGGACGCTAGACTACAAGAACCTACCTCGTCCTTTCGGACAGGGCTGCAGTACCCCGACTTGGCACACTGGACAATGAAATTTGGAAAATCTACTCTAGTGCAATGATAGTAACAAATGTAACTCTACTCTTGTGCAATAACAGCAAATAAAGTAACTCTACTCTAGTGCAATGAAAGTAACAAAACTGTCTCTATTCTAGTGCAATAACAGTAACAATAGTAACAACGAACGAAAAAAGGGTGGAGAAGAGTTGTCTCAAGTTTAACAAACGTGTCTTTGTACAGAATGCGCTCACAGTGAATTTACACATATTAACTATCTTATGATTAACTAAAACTAAACGCACGCATCCCACGATGTTCCTGCGAGATCCCTCGTCGTCCATCGGTGGCCCGCTGGGGGCCCAATAGTTTACTTATCAACTAATTGTACCTACAGTTGAGTTTAGATCGTGAAATAGAGAACAAAAATTTTCACGATCTAAACTGAACTGTAAGTTGCGTAGTTCTTAGCTTGATATCGTTTCACAAACATTAAAGTTTATCGTTTTACAATTTAGCTTGATAATGTTTTACAAACTTTAATGTTTGTAAAACGTTATCAGTTACCAAGGCCCACCACGTGGAGGTGACTACGCACGGGTCTCATTATTTATGTATTGTAAATCAGTACTGTTTCATATATTTATCACACAGGTCACCAGTTGTTTTCAATTTAAGTGATTTGTTGGAAAGAGGAAAGATGTTGATAAAATAAAGTAAACTATTTGATCGATCTAATGACTAATTTTGAATATTGAATAAATATTGTTGTTTGACATGTTAATAGTAAAGGACTAAATTATTTTCCAAATTATAGATTCAAAGAGAAATTCTGAATAGCAATATTAATTTTATACTAATGTTTAATGTATATGCAAAAATATAACGTATATCATGGTAATTGTTAAAGAGTGGTAACTAATAAAGTATATTTTGTACGACTACGATACAAGTCATGGAAATTGAACTCGTATTCAAATAATCACGATCAAGTATTAACCCAACACCAAAAAAACCAAACCATGTAACTTACCAATCGTTGAAGTCAGAATTGTAGATTGAGGTTTGGTTCCAGACAAATGATTAATTAAAAATTTTAAATAACACTTAGAAACATTACAGAAGAGACTTTATTGTTTACTTGTTAGAAATAAATTATTAGAAATATTTAAACAATTAGAATATTCGGAAATATTATTTAAAAACTCACTACTAAATTTTAGTCGATGTGCACACGACGGAAGTTCAATTGGTAATAAACCTCCGTACCACTGAAGGTTAATTTAATGTTTCGATTGTCAGTGACCCGGAAGTGTTGATAATTTTTTCTCAAATTTCTAAAATTTGTTCGATGTGCATGCGACGAAAGTTTAATGATTTTCCGCTCAAGGTTAATATATATTTCGGTTTTCGGTTCAGGACAGTTGATAATTTTTTTCAAACATCTAAAATTTGGTCGATGTACCCACGACAAAAATTCAATTCGTAATGAGCTCTTTTCTCGGTTTCGATTGACATTAATCTGAACTTTTGGTCGTTAAAGATGCGATACAGACAATAAAAATGTCTTAGAAATGTATTAGTGACGCGATTATTATAAACAATTAATTAAAAATTTTAAATAGAACTTAGAAATGTTACAGAAGAGAATTTATTGTTTAATTGTTACAAATAAATTATTAGAAATATTAGATAATGTTTAAACTATTAGAATATTCAGAAATATTATTTAAAACTCACCCCTAAATTTTAGTCGATGTGCACACGACGAAAGTTCAATTGGTAATGAGTCTCTGTACCGCTGAAGGTTAATTTATTGTTCCGATCGTCTGTGATAACTGTTGATAATTTTTTTTAATATTTCGAAAAACATTACTTTGGTAGGTTTTACATTTCTATTGCAAAATTACTGTTTCCCGAATATGTTACAATGTTAAATGTAATAATTTATTAATTTTTTATCGGCTAAAACTAAATTTACACTTTCCTGATATTAATTTCGAAGTTATAACTGCATTGATGTATATTAAATATTAATTATATTGAATAGAAATTTATGTAAAGAAAAGTTATGTAGTCAAAGGTCGGGTTAGCAATGATCGTCGCTTCAAAGTAATCGCGCAACATATAAAAATATTCACTCGTTTATTGTTTCAAATTGCAAAGAATATATATATATCTATATATATATATATATATTATGTAACTGTCTTTTCTGTTATTCTGAATGATATAATTTAATTATTATAAATGAATTGTTCAAACTATGAAATAATGCTTGGAAGTTCAATCACTGATTAAAATGCTATAAATAAGTAGTTAGATAGGTAAATAATATAAAAAAATATCATTGAAATGCATTATTTTACAATTTGAATAATTCATTTGATTCAGTTAAATTTTTAATAATTAGATTATTTTATTTCTACAATATTTCTAGACACTATTTTTAATTTTCACAATTTTTATATTACGATTAAACAATTAAATTAATTATTTCATTCAATAAGTCAGTGTCATTTCTTTTAAGTACATTGTTCAAGATTCTTATAAATTATTAATTAAATATTTTAAATAACACTTAGAAATATTACAGAATTTATTGTTTAATTGTTGCAAATAAAGTATTGGAAATATTAGATAATGTTTAAACAATTAGAATATTCAGAAATATTATTTAAAACTCACTCCTAAATTTTAATCGATGTGCACACGACGGAAGTTCAATTGGTAATGAATCTCCGTACCGCTGAAGGTTAATTCATTGTTCCGATCGTCAGTGACCCGGAATTGTTGATAATTTTTTTTTGGTACTTCAAAACGGTTTCTCTATTATACTAATCAATAGTTTTTAGATTTCTATCGCAAGGTTGCTCTTTCACAAATATGTTCCAATGTCAAATGTAATAATTTATCAATCTTTTAATCTATAACTGACCAATACTAAATTTACACTTTCATGATATTAATTTCCAAGTTATAACTGCATTGATATATATTAAGAAATTTATGTAGAGAAAAGTTATGTAGTCAAAAATCGAGTTAAGCAGTGATCGTCGCTTCAGAGTAATCGCGCAACATAAAAAATTTATAAAAAATTTTCACTCGTTCATTGTTTCAAATTGCAAGGAATATATGTATTATGTAACTATCTTTTCCGTTATTGTAAATAATATAATTTAATGAATTGTTCAAACTATGAAATAATGTTTGAAAATTTAATCAGTGATTGAATTGCTATAAATAAATATTTAAATTTGTTGAATAATATACAAAAATTTCAACGAAATGCATTATTTTACAATTTGAATAATTCATTTGAAGCAATTAAATTATTTTATTTCTATAATATTTCTAGACTATTTTATAATTTTCACAATTTTTATATTACAATTAAACAATTAAATTAATTATTTCATTTAATAAGTCAACGTCATTTCGTTTAAGTACATTCTTCAAGATTCTTATAAATTATTAGTTAAATATTTGAAATAATACTTAGACATATTAGAGAAGAAAATTTATTGTTTAATTGTTGCAAGTAAATTATTGGAAATGTTAGATAATGTTTAAACAATTAAAATATTCAGAAATATTATTTAAAGATTCACTTCGAATGTTTAATCGATGTACACACGATGAAGGTTCAACTTATAATGACCTTTTTCGGTGCTCAACCATCAGATAAAGTTAAAGTCAGCGATGCACAACAAGTGGTAGTCTTTGTCAATACTTTCAAAAACACTATTTCTGTTACAGTAATCAATAGTTTTACAGTTCTTATGTTTTATTTAGTAGTAGTTTCAACTTTACAGTTTTATTGCCCCCATTGATCTTAGGCAACAATAACTACTGTAATTTTAGGGGTGTGCGAGAACCCGAAAATATCGGGAACTCGAACTCGGTCGGGAAGAGTCGGGAAGAGTTTGAGACGGGTCGGGTCGGGTTCCCGAAAATTTCGAGATTCCCGATTCCTCGAATTACTCTGCAGTACTGTATAGCAGCCTACGAAATATGTAAATATACTGTTCAATTTCTTCTGCCAGTGAAATTATTGGAAACACCGATTCTAAGAATCGTGTGACCTGATGTATACAAACGTGTGACTGCGTGCTTAGTACTTGGATATTATGTACGCTGTTGATCAGTATCGCTGAGAAATTCGGGAAGTTCAGACGTATATTTCAAAATCTGTGTGAATTTCATAAAGAGTAAAAATCTTTCAAAAAAATGTCGAGTGAGAACTAAACTTGTGGTAGCAGGAAGTAGTGCAGGAGATATCGTGTAAAGGAAGAAGGTAAAGAGAAGCTCTGTTTGGGAACATTTTCAGGAAAAAATGATACAAAGGCGGAATGCACACATTGTCACTATTAATTTAAAACTAAGTATGCAAATACTACTGGTTTATTACGCCATTTGAAGCATATGCATCTAAACATAGGCTTATGTACTAGAAAAGAAACTGAATCGATATAAAATTTGTAGCATGTACAAAATGATATGCGAAAGATCGTTAAACCAAAAGTTATAACAGAAGTAATTGCTCGAATGATGGTTCTGTTTGAAAATGATCGTTCCTTTTGTTCATTATTTGATTCTCTCTCTTTCATACTTAATTCAATAACCCATCAATTATAATACGTACTGAATTCTTATTTTGATCTAATTCATCCTCTGATCTAATTTCCCTTGCGAGGCGTTTATTCTTCTCTATTATATATATAATTATAAAAATCCATTAAACACACCTCGAAATACAAATTGTAGCCTTTCAAGTAACAAGATCTATTTTGAATTTGTAGAACATTATGTTGAACATCTTGAATAAAACGAATATAGTATCGTACGAATCATAAGTAAAAAGTACAACAAGGTTTTTGTGACAAATCTGAGAGTTTCCCCTGGAATCATTAAATCTCAACTAATGTGACAAATATTCGTTTTTCGTATGATTCAGTCATTGATGATTTTTCATTTTGCTGGACAGATCGCTCTATTTTCTAATTAATTATCTCGAGAACTTCCTCTCTCTCTCTCTCTCTCTCTCTCTGTCTCTCTGTCTCTCTTTTAGGGTTAATGAAACTTCTCAACTATGCTCGAACACCGCCACTATCCTCTAATTACATCGTAGAAAACTCGGTTACAACGTTAGAGATCGCGCACACGCGTTTGTCCTCGGTCGCGTCTCAACTGGATAACTTGCCGGAAGTTGTACGCTGCGAATGACACTCGGATAATTTCTAACGAGCGGCCTGGCCCGAAACTGGCTGCGCCCCTGGTCGCGGGTCCTCCGTGGCCCCGGAACGTTCCCATGGAAAATTCAAGCGCCAAAAGGAGCTGAAAGCGGGCTCCATCTCCGAGCCGTCGGTAATTGGGTGAGATGAATTGTTGATGGGACTAGAAATTCCGAATGCGGGCTGACATTTTCGAATCGGTAAGGGGTCGCGTGACACGGTGAACTCGGCAACGCAACCAGATCCATCTTCGTCCGACGTTCGTTTCTTTGTGTCATCGTGTGCATTTCTCTTCCAGATTCAATCTAGAACTTCGTTGCTTCCGATTCGTCGAAGCACTTGGACGACGTTTCATCGACAAACGAGCCGTTTCTTCCCCTCTGCCAATTGCTGTCTCTGGTATCTTTTCACTCGAGGAATTTCATCGCTTCCATATCCCTTTCATCACTCGACCGCAGACGAGTTTCTCCATCTTGCGTTAAACAACCTGGAAGATCCCGAGTAGGGTGTCGCGCCTAACATCCTAAGAATGCTCGTTTCTCCTCCGTATCTTTGCCCTTAACCTCTTCCGCTGGAACGACGTGCCACGCACGCCGAGAATTTTTTCTCCCAAAAATTGCCGTATTTTCTCAGTTTTAAGTATATTTCAGTATGGCCCAGGCGAAACAAATAATAAATTTATTACTTCTCAATAATTTCTATACCGACGAGTTCGAAACGAAAGCGACGAATTATTGCATATACGGTTTGGTCACTCGTTATGGTCCGCAATCAGTTGCCAGCGCAAGTGGTTAAGTACGTACAGAGTCCATAGGAATCACAACGTATTTTGAGGACCAAAAGAGTGGAGAAAGATAACGATTCAACGACACGAACAAAGGAAATCCCTTTATGAAGATATTAGTTGATGAAATTGATACTGTGTATTATTGGAAAATCAAAATCGGGTGGAAATAGGAAACGATTTGTCGCGGATAAAGGAATTTCTTAGATCTGTGCTTTTGGAAAAATTTTCGATCGAATTGTTTACTAATCTCTCTTGGTTTCACGATTCTGTACGATCTGTAAGATATAGTGTCTGCCAATATAATTAGACTGACGTGTTTCTCATTGTTTAGACTTGTAATAACAAAACAATTAGCAAACGTAAAAATAATGGATTCCTAGTGAATCTCAGGAGTGCATTCAGTATGAAAATTCATAGCTCGTGTTATTCCGATAGAAGTTACTGTAACGTTAATAGAGAGATCGATATGGTAACCTTCAAGTTATAGAATGTTGTACACGGTTAATTTTATCGGTTGTTTGACAATTCATGACCAAGATTGCACATATCCAGGCCTTGTAGCCCATCACTAACATACACGTATTCTACGTAGAGGAACTAATTCTCAAACGTTCGATCATGTGCAGCTGGTGTACTGCATGACTATCAGTACCTACACGAAGCCTGAAGGATTCTTCAACATCGGCCTGACGGCTGGACAGGCATGGCAGTTACCTTCGAAGAGCACGCTGTCGAACAAGCTTGGAGATTATCATCGTCGGAGCAGAAGGCAGCTGTATCGTAAGATGGAGCTTCTTTTGGAAAGGTGAGTGGCGAGGGGAAAGGAGAACGAAGGACTCTCTTTCTCTTTCCGGCTTTTCGCGAGATCTCTTCGCGTTCTGCCAATCGCATCCCCTAATTTATCTAGTTTCTCGGCGAGACTCCTGGAATTTCCTTTCTCTGATCGCGACTCTTTTGGCGAGTTTTTTTGGCTGACGAGGACTTTCCTCGATCGAAATCGAAATCGATTTGAAAATTCCGAGTCCTAGAAGTTGACATTTCCAACGTTGCAGAGAGACAAGCGAAACTCGTTTCAGTTGTTCCTAAAATTTGAACATCAGGACTTTCTGAAAAATTTGTTCGCGATGATTTTCATCCATCTGAAAAACTATACGGTGTAAATAAAAATTACTGAAAATGCGACAAAACCTTGTTCCTTAAGTCAAAAATGCTCGATGCCACCTCCACTTTTTCTCTCAAGAAGGAACGATGTGTTTTTTAACTTATCAATCGTCGTAGCTCGATACATTCTCCATAAACTCTGGATACGCGAGTATTCTATTCAAAGATCCGGTTGAAAGGGAGATCGTTTCGATGTAAATCTCCGATTGTTAACGCAACAGAAATTTCGAAATAGCCTTAGCTTCTTTTCGCTGGTATGAAGCGGGCCGACGAGGATAGCTCTTAACGAAGTTACTCGACACAGTTTCGATGCGCTTTTACGTTCGTCGCGGTTACTTAAATAGCAATTCGGATAACGTGGCGCATCTCCAGAACCTGGCACCGCCCCGCGGAATTAAATCCTCAGCTATACGAGACTGTGAAGGATATCGAAAACACGATTAAATCGGTCACGATCTTCAAAGAGGACGCTGGCAAAGGGTCCCATGCATTTACAATTAACCCGATCACCTGGAACGACGCTACTCGCCTTTCTATTTCATTACCATAGACAGAGCTGTACCAATCTGTGCGTCTGACGATGTAATATTTTTCGTACCGTATTGCTCGCGAATGAGAAAACTGTGGAATAAGAAACTTTCGAAATGGAACGAGCTTACAGAGATACAGATGTTCGAAGCTTATATAAGAAATGAGCAAATTTCTTTTTGAAGTAATGAACAACTTTTACTCATTTGTTTCTTTGTTTTCAATTTAAAATGACATGGAACGAGCAACTTTATCTCGTGTCAAATAAATGAAATGAATCTTTCGTTGAGACAGACAAGTCTGTGATTTTGGCTAATATCAGTGACGTGAAATGTTTAACATCTTCGTTTCTCTTTGCACGTATATTTGAATTTTATCAGACGGAAGCAGAGTTTCGTTATTAATTAATCTTCTAGATCAAATAAATTTATCAATTTTTATGAGACAAGACATATGTTTCAACCGCTTGCGCTGGCAACTGATTGCGGACCATAACGAGCGACCAAACCGTATACAATAATTCGTCGCTTTCTCTTTGAACTCGTCGGGCATGGCATCGCTGGATAGAAATTCTTGAGAAGTAATAAATTTACTATTTGTTTCGCCCGGGTTTATACTTAAATATACTTAAAACTGAGAAAATATTGCAATTTTGGGACAGAAGGTTCTCGACGTGCGTAGCACGTTATTCTAGCGCAAGTGGTTAAAACGTCGACCGTACGAATTTAGAAAAGTTTTCAAACCTAGACAAACATTATTTACGTATTATTCTATTAATATTCATTCCCAGTAAGATCGTCTTTATCGTTCGGCCTCCAACAAGAAAGTGGTTCGAGGACCAGTCAAAGCTACCTGTGGAAACCGATTTTACTTGCTTCTACCATTGTTTTGCCACGACGAAAGAAAAATCCTTCTTCGCGACGGCGTTCGAAGGCATTGTTCTTTCTTCTTCGCCCCCCCCCACCCCTCCCCTGCTTACCAAGGGGCCTCTTCGTTTTCGGTCCTGGCTAAAGAGACGTTCCGGATGCAAAACAATTCGTGGTCTCGAATTTTTCTCCTTTTTCACCATCGATAGAGCCGGCCACTTGCCTGATTCTCGCCGGATAATCGCGAAAAACGACAATGAGAATCGAGGAGGTGGTGAGGGGCCGAAGGGGGAGGGGTTAAGTGGCTGGCTCTTCAGACTGGTTCCCTTTTCTCTTTCCTCGACGTCAACAAACGTTGACCAACGAAAATAGCGGAAGGCGATCGCGAAACGTCGACCGAACCTTCCCTGTTCTTTCAGGCTCTACCAAACTCAAAGCTCTCTGTTCCTCTTCCTCCCCCCTTCTCTCACTCTCTCTCTCTCTCTCTCTCTCTCTCTCTCTCTCTCTCTCTCTTTCACTTTCTCTCATTCCATCTCGTGCCACTGTTCCAACTCTTTGGCCGCGTCCAGAAGAAGCCGGCGAACGAAACAAAGCTCGACGCTGCCGAATCGAGCCTTTTCTCGTCGCTCGTTCCTCTGTTCGACGGTAGCCACGAAAAGGGGAGGAGGAGGAGGAGGTGGTGGAAGAGAAAAAGGGAGCGAGGGTGGTGAAAGGGCCGTAGCTTTCTCGCGGACGGTCCGCGATTGTGCGGGCTCTGAATCGCGTTAACGATAAAGAGGTTCTCCGACGTTTTGCCGACGGTTCGAGCCTCGAGATTTCGACTCGGGCGGACGGCCGAATCCAGGCATCGGCGAACACTCGGCCGCTTTGTTTCCTCGTGAATAATGCCGCCTTAGACGCGTGATTGTGCGGAGAACGCGCGGGCAACGAAGTGGAGTGCCCTCGAAGGCGGAGGGTCGAATCAGCGGAAGCCGAGAGAAGGCTTTCGTTGATCGATTCGCCAATCGTTTCGATGTTTAGGGCCCTCATGAAGAACCTTCGAGTCGTGGAAGCCGCGCGATTCTATTTCGCGTCGATTTATCTAAAGGAATCGCGCCTTCGTGTCTTAGATCTTTTCTCCGCTGCGTACGTTTGACGTCAGAAGATCGTTTGTTCTCAGAAACAGATTCTTTCGTCGTATTTATTGATTAATAATTAGCTCCATGATACGATAAAAAAGGAGGAAAGAGAAAGACAATGTTTCAAATAAAGTTAAAACGGTATGTCGTAAGTTTTACTATTTTTTATGACTCAAATATAAACGAAATTATGTAAGAGTCTTTCTTATCGAGAAAAATGTTTAATATGTTGGATAAAGGCTTTAATATAATTATATTAAAGCTACGAATGAACAAAATCCGTGTTTATTATTTCTAAACGAATATCACTTTTCGAACGACTCTCGTGTATACTCTGTGTAATCTAACTATAACCATAAGCTTGTATAAAAGTGAACCGGTTGACAAGCAAAAGGATTTATAAAAAAAGATAATATTGTTGTAGGAACTCTATCTATTGTTACTCCAACAGATATTACGTCAATAATTACATCACGAATAATTATTGAGTCACTCTCGCATTTTCAAAATACAATCCATATTTATCGCCATTTAAAACTTTTCTCGTGCATAATCCGTATAATCCAATTTTACTTGTAAAAAAAAAAAAAAAGAAAGAAAAGAAGAAGGCAGACAAATCGCGGTGAACTTCAAATATTTCAAATCGAACGTTGGAAAATGAAAAGGAAAGGGAAAGGTGCGTTTCAACTAACGAAGAACGGCGTGTTATTTTGAAGCAGCCTGTATCGGTAAGCGGATCGAACGATAGGAAAACACATCCGTCAAACGACGGATACTTCTCTGGATGGGCGAAAGGGGTGCATTACACGGGCGCGTAATTTCGAAAGAAGGCTGGCATCGATCGATTAAAACAGCAGGGCTCAGCGTAGCGACGCGTACTCGCGCGGTCGGGCATCGCGCTGCTTACATAAATATCTTCGATTGCCCCGATATTGGTAACCATTTGTCAAGCTGCTGCATCGTAGTTCGCCCGACGCCGACAAATGGCAGTCAAGATTAATTTTTATATTTATGCCCGTTTCATTTACTTCGTGCTTCGCGTTTCGAAATCGATTTCTCGTTCCTCTCGTTACCAGGGTCCCGACCCTCGTTTCGCCACCAGCCCTCCCACGAGACAATAAATACGCGTCGCGAATCGGTAAACTGTCACCGGGAACGTGCCGTACAAATATTCGTACGTTGAAAATTATTTTCTCGATACATTTCCCCTTTGATTGCGAAAGATGCTGCCAGCGTTGCTGTGCTGGTTTGTCTGATCGCAGGCACGGCGTTCGGTCGTTCTTCCTATTGTTCTTCGAGCCTGGCTGCGGCTTCTTAATCGGATGAACACGTAGCTTCGAGCAAGTTGATACGAGCAAACATCGGCTGTTTCAATTTTAATAGCAGCCGCGGAGTATTCGAATGTACGGCGCGGTGGTTGTAGAAAAGACTCGGAGATCTCGACGATCATTGTTCACGGCTGAAGGTGTAAAATTATCGTCGACGAGAGTGATTCGGTAATTATTAATAACAATATTTATTAATACGTATACGTTTATTGATATTTTATTTATTTGCTACGGCATTACACATTTACAACAACAGTCTTACTTCTCTACTAGAAAAGTAAATATTCTTACAATTATTCATAATTTGAAAGCACGATGAAATGATAAATTTATGTAAAAAGAAAAAATATTGTACAGCGAAAGATATAAAAATCCTGAAAATTAATAGAGTAGTAAAAATTCTAAAAATTCTACATTTCATGTAAATTAGATTTCAAGAGTGAATGCATATATCCTACACTGGATATAACAGTACAGTTCTCGCCCAAAGTCCTTCGAATCTGATTCGCCGAATACAGCGAAACTGAACTCTCTGTCTCAAGATTCGCGGTAGGTTGCAGCGTGGCGAGTGCATAGCACTCGGATCATCCGGATCTTAATAGCGAGGCCGTGATGTTCTATGTATAATTGCCAGTATTTACTCGCGGCGAAGACGTCGGCAGGGGATGGGTTTAGCTGGAAAGGGCGGAGAGAGCGGTTGTAAACGTTCGCCGGTTTACACCGAACCACTTCGTGCTCGGCCAGTATCAAGGCACGATGGTATTATCGTGAACTTAATGAATAGACCGCCGACTCACGGACAACCGAGCGGCGATAACGAGCCTGATAATGATAAACGATCCGTGCGCTCCTTTAACCACCCTCTAACCATCTCCTCTTGTTCTACCAAGCCAAGGCAAGGATGGAAAAGCCTGCGTTCTCAAGACGATTTGCAACGCCGCTGGAAGGAGTCAAACGGAGATTGGCAAAGGTCATTTCATGCAAGAGATACTACACGCCATGTTTTCGTGAGTATTTGCAAAGTGCTCAAATGTAACCTTTTCGTTGGTTCCCTTAAATTTGAGATCCCTTTCATATATTAGATTCTTTCCTCGTTGAACAGGTTGTTTAACTGTACAATTCAGTTGTTAACTGTGTAATTGCTATTGATATTAATATCAATGTTAATAATATAACTATTATAATATTTTGAATAACGTGTATTTATTTCGTGAGTAAGCAAAGAAAATTTTCACGTTGGACTCTTGTCTTATTGAATATTTCAACTTTTGAGTTATTCTAGTATGTAACAATTCGACTCGAACTAACGAATTTAAAAATACAAACCGATCGTGAGCGATATTTAATAATACTTATTAACATTAATATTAATGTTGTATGAATTAATAGCAAGTGTTATTATATAAAAGTTATTCTATTTTTATTTACATTGTTATTAGAAATAACATAATTAAATCTAGACAAGTAGAAAACCTATTGAAAGACAAGGCATATTTTAATAATAAAGAACAGATGTATAATAACAATCAGCGTTTGTTAATTAAAGAATCAAATGTCATGGTTATTATGACTAGAAAGATTTCTCAATCTCAGTTGTCGATCGAGAATGGAAAAATCGTACGGCATAGGGGGAATGATCGACGAAGAAAGATTGATCGAGGCAATATCGAATAGCCAGGAGATAGCGTACCGAATGGAAAATGCTGATTAATCAAATGTTCATCAGCGCGGAGGAAGTGAACACGCCGAAAAGATGACGATCAAAGTGGGCACCGGTGAATGGTTAAATGATGATTAGCAAAAAGATTGATTAAGGAGGGATATCGAGAAGTTGGTAAATAGGGTCCGGAAGATAGGGGACGCGCAGATTAATTGTGGATTGATCGACGAGGAAAAACACTGACAGTATAAAATCTGAATAAATTATCATTTCTTTCTTTTTTTTTTTTTTGATCGTACTAGGGTTGAAAGGAACGGAGAAAAGAGAAAAAAATATTTAGAAAACGATAAGAAAAAGTAAAGAGAAATCGATGAAGACAGGAAAGAACGGAAGACAAGTGGCACATTTGTTATCAATTGTTAAGAAGATACTGTAACGACGTGTATTAAGAAAAGAAGCACGTCTCATTTGTCATGCGAAGAAAAATACATTTGTTCTCGATGTGCGATTCCAAATATTACGTTTCGTTCTCTTCCGTGAACGGAAGCACGTTTGATTTCGTACGAAAAATACATGGCACGTTCCAATATTTCCTATGAAAGAAGAACAGTGTAAAAATGAATAAAATTGTAACAACGGAAAAACATTACATTTGCACATATATAGTTAACGATCTAATATGTATGCATGCACTTCTAATTAGAGTAAAATTAGGATAATTATTAACAATTGTTAATCACAAATTATGTTATTTCTTCCTTGGCGATATTTATTCATTTTTATGGGAAACGTTCGAACGCTAGAGAAAAGACGGTGAAATGGCATTGTCTCTCGTGGCACGAATCAAACTATCATTCGTAAGAAAAATTGAAATATATTTTCAGAGTTGATGCTACCGAAATATGGCCACTCTCCGTAAGACAAACGAGACGTGCTTCCTTTCTCAACGCACTGTCGATTAAAAATACAACGCGGAACGGAACATAATACTCGAGCGTACACTCGGAAAAGGGGACGAAGAGGAGGAAAAAGCGCAACGAAGAGATCGATAAAGAATGAGAAAAAGTCAACGAGGATGTGCATACGCTATCAAACTGTCGTCGCGTCCGCGGCATTCTCGAGAAATCGCCCTCGATTCTCGAGAAACAGCACGAAGCTAGCAGCCACGGCACGCCGCGTTCGTCGCGCTACACTTTTTTGATAACACGTTGAATTTATTCATGACATCCGGCTTGACGTTTAACGTCGTCGTCGTCGTCGTCGACGTCGCAGCCGCCGGCTGCGCGTCCGTGCGAGGAAGTTCGGAAGCCCCTTTCGGTATTCCTTTCTCAAGGAATACTTTTCTCGTCTGTTCCGTTTTAATAATCGTTGCGAAGCCTCTGACGCGAGCTGTTCCGCACTCTGGCAGCTTGTTGTTCAATCTCGAAAGAAGCTGAACTGTTCCGCTATAATTACCAAGCGATATTTCATTTTTCGATTGGTTTCGAGTTTCACGGGGGTGAGAAAGCGGACCGTGAGATTTTCGGAAGGGTAGAAAATGTTCTTTTCTTGCCTTCACGATTTGCCTTACGTTCGACTTCTCGTTGCTATCGGAACTTCCTCCACGGCCGATTGCTACGCGAATGCTTCGCTGATTATTTATACTCGCCCTCTGCTACCCCTTTAATAATTACAGCCGCATCTCGCTACGACGATAATTCAGCGAAGTTTCCCCGTTTCAGATTACCAGCGAGCTACAACGACGCTGATCCAATGACTGAGTACGAGAGAGCTTACTTCCTGAAAGAGAATTGCAACGAAGCGCGGCGGAAATGTCCGGATGTATTCTGAGAGAGAGAGAGAGAGAGAGAGAGAGTCCTTCTTCTTAATTTACCAAATAACCATGCTGCGACTATGGTGTCCAGGGAGGTCTCTCGAAGGCACTCGAGTTACGTTCGTGCACCGTCCTCGTCCGACGTCGTATTTTATGCGCTGACTATTCGATTAACGTTGGGAGCTTACTAACGGAACTAAGCTTATTCGTTTATTATACAAAGGATAAATGTTCGTAACGACGTGTAGAGAATTATAGTGCCATTTTCTCTATCCGTTTTTCGGGCAATCAATTGTATCGGTTACAGATAGAGGATAGAAATCTTTGGGTAATCAAGTAGAATACTTACGTCGTTGATCAGACATGAATTCTTACTCTTGTGCTGTTGTCTGTGGTTACTTTAAAAACGATGTTATTTTTTTAAGTCTCGAAACGGTGGAATATTGAGTTATTTATATGTTTTTGATAATATATTATTACATTACGTTACCTTATAGTATAATTGTGATATTCATGTATATTCTTAAAGTCTCGTTAAAAACAATCGATACGTGATACTGTCATTAGAAGTCATTTAACATCTCATTAAATATCGTTAGACATGTTTCAAAATTCAAGAAATAGTAATGTTTTTATTGAATCCAGGAAATAGCAATATATTCGTTTTCGCCTGATATTGAAAGTTCAATAAAATGATCATACATAAATGCAAGTTCCCCGAGGTTATCATGAAAGGAGAGGCTTCAATCTTCAAATCCATTGTAGATTCAGTTTCACGGAAAGAATTTTTCTATGTTTCTATGTTTTTATGCATAACACTACGACAGTTTATATACCATTCTCGAGAAGGAAATTGTCTTCACTTTGCCATCGTTTGCTATCGTACTCTAAAAACATCTTGGAAAAAAAATGAACGATATACTTTGAAAGTAGATGTTTCAAGCTTCAAAGCGAGTCCACGTTTGTTACTGTGCGATTTTCTTTGTTTCAAAATCACAACAGTTTCGATATTTAATGGCAATTTGTAAATGGTAAACATTCTAGTTCTCATTCGTCAAAGAAAGAAAGCTTATATTCGAGAAACTTTCTTTGTATCATCACCAGCAATTTATTTAAAATGATATCATTGGAAATCAAATGGTATTTAATACGAAATTTTATTAATTATATCTTTCTAACATGTGAACGTCATTTAAATCTAAAGCTTGGTTTAAGGTTTGCTAGAACAAGTATAATAGACAAGAGTTAATGATACATAGTGTCAATCTCTGAAAAAAATAATATCCTCTGTCATTTTTTACACTTTCGCAAGAAATAATAAGAAGTCTATTTATAAGAATTATTGGCTGTCAATTGACTCAGGACTCAGAAATTTCCTCTTTTGTTCTTCTTACGTCATTATTATAGGCGTTATTTCACTCTAGGCGTCTGTTTAGATATTATACTATTACACATCGCATCGTACAACGCCAAATGTATACGTTCGTTGTATAATTATCAGTAAATTATGAAAAGCGGAAGTACGAATTGTTAGCTAAATTTAAGATTACGATGTCTTCTCAGAAGTGACAGTCAAGTGCAAATATCAAACGAAATGGGGTAATGCGGTTCTAAGTTTCTCAAGATGATACGAGACGTCTTGATATTCACCGAGCAAACGGTTATCAACGCATTCATTAGTCCTACGACAACATCGCGCGCAAGCTGGAATAATACGGCGCTGTGTGCTCGAACGCGCATCCTTCCGGGGATTGCGGTTGGGGTGCATGGTTTCGGTATTTTGCTTACATGCATGCGTTCGACTGCCTGCCTCGTGTTTGCGTGTGAACACATCCACCGTAACGCAATTCTCCCTTTGAGAACGTCAGCCAAGGCTTACGCCCGCATTACGCATCATTACCGTCAGTTCGAATCCCCAAATCATGGTCGCAGACAACGTTCCTGTCCGATTTTAACCGGTCAGTTTTAACAGTGCGTCGTTATCGCCGCTAAACGATCGACAAGTTCGACGACGAATATTTGATTCATTGCATTGTATTCGATGGTCCTTGCTTTTGATGGGTTGATTTGTTACTTTCAACGTGTAATGATGACGTTACGAGAACGACAGAATTTACGAAAATGTACGAAGACGTTGGACGAAAAATTGTGAAACAACTGTTCATAATTGTGAAATCGGTTCAAATCAAGAAACTAAAGAGGATTGATTTCTTTTATCGCTTATTTTGTACTGTATTGTCTTAATCCTAGTTGGCATCGTTGGATCACTTCTCACATATAAAATGGAATAAAAATTTCTATTCGTTTCCTATTGTTTTGTGTAATTAAAGATACGATGAAAGTTTTCTTTTCTTTAGAAAAAATCCTTTCCAAATTATATGACGTTATAGAGAGTTAATAAGAAATAATTAGAATGTATCAGACCGCGTGGCAGACGATTGTGCACGTATATTAATAGGTTGTTATTTTAATGAATATCTCATTTATCACTGCAATTATCGTCGCTAGATCAATTTCAATATATCACCATGAATTGGATACATATTATAGCTTTTATTAAAAAAAAAAAAAAAAAAAAATACTCGACTGCACAAAGTGTAGAAATAACAAATTTTAACAGCGAAATTTCATACTTTTAAATTGGTAGAGATTTATTAAAAGTTGATTATTGATCTTGAATTTCGATATCGAAATTTTTATTGAATTGCATCACATTTTACTCGTCATGATATTGAGAAGTTCGTGGCAAATAAATACTACTTTATTAAATAATTAAATATTATTAAATAATTTAATAGTTTATTTTTTTTAATAATTAATACTCTTAATACTAGTACTACTACTACCCTTAATTAAATAATTAATACTAGTTATTATCACTGTAAATACCATTAATTAATGCTAGTTATTATCACTGTAAATACTAGTTTATTAAATAATACTTATAATTAATACTCTTAATACTAGTACATAATAATTATTATAATTAATACTCTTAATACTAGTACTACTACTACCCTTAATTAAATAATTAATACCAGTTATTATCACTGTAAGTACTAGTTTATTAAATAATACTTATAATTAATACTCTTAATACTAGTACATAATAATTATTATAATTAATAGGTTGTTAAATACCATTAATTTGTTAACATTATGATAACATTGCACAAACATAATTTCTCGATCGATCACACCGTAGGTATTTTCATCGAGCTTCCACTATATAAAAATTTGAGAAAGAGTAGCTCAAGAGAATCAAAAGATGTCGTGAAACAGTGGTTTCTCTTGGATAACCAATTCCCTGCGTTTACCAGTTCCTCGCGGAAAAATTTGAAATTCACATTCCTGGCGTGTTTGCGAAGAATTCCCGAAGGGAATATAGCTCGATTCCCGTAGCTCGTGTCGTGTCACATCAGATGGTTACACTTAAATTTCTCAAATCTCCGGGAATACATTCGACGACAACGTTGCGTTACCAATCTTCAAGATATCCTGACCGGTTCCCATTCCGTTCGCCAGGTAATTTCACTTCTCTTCTTTCTTTTCATTCTGTTTCTTTCTGTTTTTTTTTGTTTTTTTTTTTTTTTTTTTTTTNTTTTTTTTGGTCCTATCAGAGAATTCCACGACGAGTGATTTATTCGACGTCCGAGACGAACCGATTTTCCCACCTCCTGTCTGCCCGATGGCCCCTAATTAAACAGGTCGCTGCATTTTAAACGAGCACAACACATTTCCCCCGAAATTACAGCCAACCAATACTTTTACGAATAAATGAATCGTCGATGCCTCGACGAGGCCAGCATCTTTTACGTGAAAGGTTAGTATGAGCGAACGTTTCGTTTGTGTGTAATTACCTGGCTGTTTCATCAGACTGCTATATTGTTTCCATTGTTGGTCTCGTTATCATTGGGATAAACTATCGTTATAATGTTTCCAATCCCGACGACACAACAGGAAAGGAACGAATTTACATGAAAGAAACAAGTGATTTTATGTGAAAGAAATAAATCGAAAGGGAAGAATAAAATTCTTTTCATTGGAGAGACTTTGTTTTTTTTTAAAAAGAGCTTAGGTTGAAAATGTATTGAATTCTGGATAGAATTAGACTTGGCAGAATCGATGAAGGTTTATTCTATATCTGCGAGAGTAAGTGAAAAATATAGAATAAAATCTTTCTATGGGTTTTATCTCTGAAGGGTTTTTAGGAATATGGATATTTTCTTTTTATTATATTTTTAGAATGTCTGGACTTGACAATATGTATGCCAATGAATTATTAACCTTATATCGCAATAATTAGATTAGAAAACATTGACATTTTATGGAAACAAGACGTTAAAAATAACCTTTGTTTTACTTAACTGTTTGTTAGATATATCAGCATGATTTATCTCCGTTTAAGTAAAACATGACGATACTTTCGATTTGTAATTATGAATTACGTATTATGGTTTAACAAGGTGAAATTTCGAAAGCAAATATCTCGAAACACAGTCTCTTAAATTCCTTGGAACCCTTCAATTTTCAACTCGCTGTAGAATTTAACACTGACACAATGTTTGTGTTCGTTTCGAAGCTGAATCCGAAATGAAGAAACCGGTAAAAGAATTCTGCGAATTCTTTTTTCAACACAGCTAGAACTTGCTCGTTTAGGAGGAGTTCTACGAATTTTTCTCTTAACGCGATTAAAATTCTGTCGCTCGTTATCTACACCGGCGTCCGAGAATCCGGAAAAGACTCACAGTAGTGGATACAGAGCGAAGCTCTAAACCGGGATCACGTAACAGGAGCCAAACGAGCCAGGACCGATAACAGAATGTTCAAACAAGCACGGTGGAACGAGGCATTGCTCGTAGCGTTTTCGAAGCAGCAGTCGAGCGACCGCGTACGCAGATTGACGTAACCGCGAAGGATGTTGCTGATTTTTCGGAGAAAATTTCTCGGCCCGTTCCTCCCAGGAGAGCTCTGAGAGCTGTGGTTCGACGCTCGTGTGGAACGCTGATTTTTCAGCCGGTGATTCGAAAAAATGAGGTCTCTGTGGCTGATACTGACCATCGCCAGGATCCTCGAGTCGATCCTCGGGGACCGCGTGTGTCACCCTAATGACACCGACATCAGCATCCCTGGCCAGAGATCGCAGGAGATCCTGTCCAGACGAAGGCGTCTCACTTTTCCAATGGGTAGCACATTTGTGGTAAGTGTTGGCAGTTCGGTTTGGATCGTTGAGCGTCGTCGTGGGAAAGAAAGCGCGTTTTCGACGGAATACGTAACGAGTCCTTCTCGGTGTTACGATCGAAGACAGTTGTGTGGTTCCTCGATGGAATATTAAAGTGTTATCAAACCGTTATTACTTAAATATTCTAATAAATGAATGTTACAATAATATTGCTTCTTCTCGTACTAAACTATTTTATATGTATCATTACGTGTTTCGCGTGTTTTACTTTTTCACACAGTTTCAAAAGCAATTGAAATATGAGGTGAAAGATTTTACTTTTACAACGCTTGTGAAGCAAATAAAGAGACATTACACTCACCGTGTGATAAATTAAATTTTAACATAGTAGATATCATTTTTTCACAGATTGTTACAGCAAATTGAAAATGACGAGGACGCTTCATACGAGGAAGAATTCCGGAAAAGGATTTTGATTATTTGAAGTTTGGAGGATGTACTTATACGTAAAACGTAAAATTATTCAACTATGATTTTTAAATATCAAAATAAAGTGACAGTTATCTCCATCTTCATTTAGATACGTGTAATACACGTGAAAAGTGGTTGTTCAATTATCCGAAAATTCCATTAATCGAACACTTTTACCCTTTAATTAATTCGCATACGAGAGGCTCCACTGTATTAATTTTAATCCTTTGATCTTGGAAGGCATTTTAATATCTCCTCCCATCAACTCGATAATTAAAAATCGAATTCGCGAGAAAAAAATTTAGAACGACTTCCTTTAGAACGATTTGCTTGATTAAAATGAATGAACAAAATATATAAGTTCTTTAAATTTTCATATCATTGTATTAATAGATTTTGTAATATTTTAAAGCGTGATGTCATCTTCTTCTGAGTGATTATTTTAAACAATAATTGGCAGAAAAATTCATCTTTTTTAAATTGTATTGTAGATTGTGATTAAAAAATTAATTACATCATTTGGAATACAAAGCTTCATAAATTTTGTAGTAAAATAATGAAATTATCAAACTTTTTATGAAGTATCTAACTATGTAAAAACTATTTTTTTTAGAAAGAAGGAGAATATTTTTCAATGTAAAATTCATGTATAATTTTGTAAACTAATCGTACTAAGATAATCGTACAATTGATACTACGACTACAAACAATGAACCTATTGAGGTATAGTTTAAATATAAATACTTTCAATTTCTTTAAATTTCATGAAATTGTAGAATCTAAATAGAAAATTAAACGAATATTAAACGAATTTTCCTTTGTTTTTCAAATTAAAATTAAAGTATCTAATGGTTTCTCGACGTAAACACGTGAATACTATTCTAAACAATGTTGAGGTGGACTTAATAATGCTTTAAAAATTATATAATTCCATTTAAACGCTCAAAATTGATTTCCATACATAATATATGTCCTTATGTGCCTTTTATAATATAATTTTCTTTGTAATGTATACAATTAATGTTCCATTTCGTACTCGTAACATTCTAATTCACATACTAACTATCGAATATATTATATCAAGCTTTAATAGCATATGAATCAAATAATTAGCAAATCTCTACATTTCTGGAAATCGTGTCCTTTTGTAAAGTAACCGTAAGAAGAATTGGTATTCGTCGTTTTCATCACATACACAATTAATGATAATCACCTTTATTCCATATTCACAACATTCATTTACACCAACTGTCTAATATATTGAACCAAGTTCGTCTGTTATAACAGTTTATGGACCGAACGTATTACGTTTCTTCAAATCGGATCTTCTCGCGAAGCAACTGTAAAAATAATTGATATTTGTATTTTGTTCTCATTTAGGCGACGGTGTCGATCTTGCAAGCGATTCCGGTTAAACTGCCCAGTAACTGGAACCTCGCGTTCGAGTTCGACGTGATTTGGCCGATACCGCCTCAGGAGAGCTTTCGGAAGAAGTATCATAAGAAGAGGCCGTGGATGGTGAAACGACGTCATCGTCGCGAATTGTACGCCACTTTCGAGACCGCGTTGGATAGGTATGATGACTGCGTCTAGATCTTTTGTCTACGTTCTGAAGCAACGGAGCAACTTGTTTCAGTCGAAACTTACCAGGAAGACAATGCGTTCTCAGAACCATCTGCGAGGCAAGGACGCTGTTAAGTTCACCGGGTGTGTCGTTTGTGGAGGACGTTATTCGATTGATATTAAGGTAAGGTAAAGTGAAATGTTCTGTGAAACGAGTTGCTTTACAGCCAATTCAAACGACGTTCTCACGTCCCTTTATTTCCGCCACCTGTTCTACTGGATTGTTTCTCATAACGCAGTGTTTTAGAAATAATAAAAATAATATTGGAGATGGTGAAAATTGTATTCGTGTTCAATTTACTGGACTTCAAATAGCAGAACAGACAAACGAACGAAGGAAAGAAATTAGTTTATACGTAAGAGTGAAATTTCGAACGCTGTTTTCGATTGTTACTGATATGGGAAAATTTATTAGTTGATACATCACGTGTAAAAAATGGCATAAGCTCAAAAAGAAACGATGAAGAATAAAGTAAAATGCAATTATGTTGAAGAATGTCACATACTTCTTACGTGTGCCATTTTAAAGTTATATTTTACATATTACTTCTGCACAAAACAGAATGAAGATTAAGCTTTGAAAGTGTAATGCTAGAAAATAGACAAACTTTCGCGTTTGCATATTTGCGATTAGGTTCAACCCAAACAGGCCATTTTAGAAATACATTGCAATGATGGTAATGAATTAATGTGGAAACGCATAATATTATTACGCCAATATTCATATGGACCACTAACACAATCTAGAAATTTGACATGAAGCATGATGATTCATAATCATTCATAAGCAACCACCGTTCTATGGTTGTTATGTGGTTCTAAAATGTACGCAACTTTGTTCATTTTAGCAAGGGACAAACGAGCTTTCAGAGAGCTTGGCCTGAACGTGCTCTTACAATTTACTATGATTATCTCTACTTTTTACTAAGATATTATTTCCTTTTATTTCAGTAATACCGAGAAAGTGAAGGGAATCGATTCCTATGACGTTGCTTACCGAACCGAGATGCCGTGCGACGTTGTTTATCCTTGTCCAATTTCTCTGTTGAAGCTCTTGTTTAACTTGTACTCTGACGATCTAGGTTAATAATAAACGTTTTTGCTCGATGAACTTTTGGTGCACGAAACCGAATACCTTCCAAATCCAACGATCCATCATGTTACATCTCGTAATCAACGCTCGATACCACTGTACTTGAATTTCCATGCGAATCTGTTGAAATGTTATGTAAGTTACAAGGAATTCGAAATATTACACGTTACGTGAAATTATTAATTAAAATGCAAAGTAATTGAATCTACGGTTCTGCTTTCTACGTAAATTGGAATTAAAAATGAAGATTCCAAAATTCGTTTGCAAAAAGATCTTGTTTTATTTCTTTCGATATTAGGGAAACAAGTAGTGTATTTATATATATATAATAAAAAAGAATATTAGTAAAGCATAAGAGGTTTATATAATACTATTCTTATATTCTTTATATTATTATGTAAATTATTATTGTCATTAATATTATTATATAAATATATTTTTCTTTGTACCATTCGATAAACACGAAGAAATATTAGATGTGATCAAGTTATAATAGAATTGACTAGAAAGTTAAATGGATGGTGATGATTGCAGGTCCATGTTACACATAAAGTATTCTTTCCTTTTTCTATTTTGCATCAACTTCTGATGGAATATTTGCAATATGTGTATACTAAAACATCCTTCAAAGTTTGCAGAATCATACTACACTGTTAACTCAATTTCGACCAAAATGTAACACGGACTCTTATTCGAGATCATAATTCTCTTGTGTAACGACCAAAGAGCTTACACCTTAATGAAATTATTGAAACTGTTACATCACACAACGTTCGCGGATTTATCAGCGTAACTCGCCATAGTATACCGTTTAAAAAATTGAAGATCGTCTTTATTAAAAAAAAACAAAGTACAAATGCAAAAAAACTTCATCGTGTTGCTTGTTGAAAGGACAGTGCTAATTTTTTCTCATACATACTGCTTTACGAGTAAAATGGTAGCTAATAAATTGGCAGACACTCTGTATGAATGTGTCGCTTGTATTGTACGGGTGTGATCTGTTCGATTATTGAACATTGTCAGTTTTGAGGTTGATGTATGTCTCTTGAGGTCTAACGACGTCAGGATGCTCGTGTCAAAAGCTTAATTTTCCAATTAATGGCTTCCTAAACATCGCAACTATGCGCCCTTAGCGTGTATTCTCTTGATAGACATAGGATGATACGTGACGTGTTCAGTTCTTACGAAAATACGAAACTTCGGTAACTATCGTTGCGTTACAGTGATTTCCAAATATCGCTTAGGAAATGTTAGATTTATCATGCTGGCTGCTAGCCATAAAAGAGAACTAAAATTCGAAAAATCATATCCTGCTTGTAGTTCAATAACATTTTCAGATCTCAATCCGAAAAAGATCTTCTTCTACGAACTCTACCAACGAAGACCTCACGCGTGTTTTCAAGACAAATTCCAGAGAAACCACATTATTTATTTAGCATTTATTCTCAAGTTAATGAATTCTGAAGAACGTGAAAAGTCGATCGTGTCTTTGCGATGTCGTCAACTATCCTTCGATTGTTAAGGGAACGAAATCGAAAGGACGAGATCTAGGCTAATCGGCGCTAGGCTGAGTATCTTCGAGTTAGTCACAGGCAAAACGCTTCCCAAGGGAATTGCGGAGAGGCTTTGAGACATTCACTGGGATCCAGGGACCATAATTATCCGATTTCTGCTAAATCGTTACGCTGTCGTCGACGAAGTTCGGTTTCTCCTCTTGTCGCGTAAATGTAAATCAACGACGCGACGATTCGAGCGGAGAAACTGGTGGTTAATGCCTGTGCTCGACTGATCCTCGTGGCACGAACCCGATTTAAGCGGCCGCGACAACGCGTCGCGACGCACGTGTCATGCTCGTGGCTGCTTCTGACGCCCGTTTATTAGCAACCGCGCGATATTACCAACGCCGTGTTATGCTTCGACACGTTCAATCTGAACGTTCTTCCTGCACCTTTCCCCGAGTTTTCTTTCATTCGTAAGACTCGTTATAAGTTGCAGCCGCGTTTGAATGCACACCACTGGACCTCGATTAAAACTGTAATTTTCAGTAACGAAATGCAGATTTATGCAGATAGGTTTTTGTCCGAGGTTCGGGGGACGAGATTTCAGAGTATTACAGTCACTTCAACGCTTTCGGGTACATTTATGTAGTTCTTAATACATTCGGCGTCGACGCGACGTATTTTGGACGGATCGTCCCCAAAAAGCCGACGATACTTCTTCGTTGATGGAGTTAAACACTTGATGTAAAGTATGCATATTCTGAGGTGATTTTTGTTGAAAAAATTTTGTCGACGAAATCATTTTTCAATTAACAACCTCGCTTGTAATACAGTCGGTTTTTTTTCATCTAAAATCAATTACTATATAAATAGTGATTTCGAGTAAGAGTCTATGTTACATTATGGTCGAAATTATTAATATAGTATTTATAATTCTCGTATGTCACTATTTTTATGCGTTAGCCCCTTGCTTATGCTACAGTCATTTAAATTTTATTTATTTTTATATAGTGCTAAAATCAATCGTTGCATGAATGGTGACCTCGAGTAAGTTCTATGTTCACATTTTCGAAATTAATAATATAATGTTTATAACTTATAATTAACACGTTGTCTTCTTAATAAGTTCTATCGCCAGACCGAAATAAAAGAAATAGAAGAAAATAAACATTTCGAACTTATGAAAGAAGTATGACTTTAAATCACGTTATTTTAGAGTATGGTAAATGTAACGTAGTCTCTTATTCAGAGCCACCGTTTATATAATACTTTAAGGATTTTATTTTAATAGAATGACGTTTTTAGGTTGCAATCCAAGAACTGAGTAGTAATGATTTACTACGTGCATCTTAAGTGATATAACATGCACTTTCATCGATAAGTATTTGAACTTTTGTAAATTGCTTCAAATTATGAAAAATGTACTTCAAATAAAACTCTGATCTAATTCTGATGTCTTATTTCAGACGACTACATCGTGTGCAGTTAGTACATGTTGATGGAAAATTATAATTATTGTTCGTTAACATAAATGAAAAAATAATTAAACTTCAAAAGCAAAACCAACTCAACACAATTTCGTACGGCGTTCCCCAATTTCATCAGTGAGGTAAACAATTAATATTCAATGCTGTAAAAAAAAAAACGTATTTAATTATACAGAGAGTACAAATAATCGCGAATTTCAAGGTAAATTTTGAATTTTTCATTACATTTTAATTTGCGGAATTAATCATCATGGTCTCTGAGTAATTCGATTAAAAATGAATGACAATTTATTTCACCGAAAAATGTTCCTTAATCATAATTTTGAGAATGTAACAAAAAAAAATATCAACCTTTCGATCAAACTTTGCCAGTTCAAATGCTTATGAACTATAGTATGCATTCTGGAAAACAATTGACAGCAGTCAGTATTCAGAAACATGTAGAAATAAAAATAAATCCAAGTAGTAATGCTCAAGTAAAACAATATCACTTCCCCTTTTTATACAGTTCAAATTGAACAATCAAATGTACTGATTTGTATCATTATTCGTCGATTACTCCAGAAAATTGCGAAGCAAAGCTAATTGGTAAATTTCTGCGTTGAAATTGCAATTCGTCAAATAAGAATTTTAATTTGCCAATCAAGATTTCTTTATGTAAATTGTAATCGGATAAACCATATAGCAATTGGAATCAAATGGGTCTGTAATAATTTATAAGGTAAGTTTAAAATTTAATTTGCGAGTTCGATGATCGAACCAAATTTTCCTCGAGGAAATTAGATAAAAGTACCGGGTGAAAAATCGGAGACAGGAAGTTCCGTATTACATCCGGTGGAGGGCAAGTTTCTCAAGTTGTGGAAGTTCGTTTCGAAATTTTCGCAATGTAATTTCGTCACATCTACCAATTCCAACTATTCCCGCCTGTTCACATCGACAGTTTTTCCACACCGTATGCGGTTAATAGTGGTTCAGGGGCACATCGATCTCTTCGAAATTCGCAGCACGATGGCTGGTTAATTTTTTCGCTGCCTCAGCGAACGCTAATTTTTCTCAAGTTCCTCCTTAAACTTTCCCACTGTCTTCTCGTCACGTGGACTTGGAAACGAGTCCCAGCGGACTTCTTTCTATCGCTACGTGACCCAATTTTCCTGGTTTCCAGACATCGCTATCGACAGCTCTAAGAAACCGTTCTCCGCCATTTCTTCTCTTCCACGAACAGCTGTAATAATACACGGGACTCGCTTCAGGAATTAACTGTATATACATATAGTCGAAAATAAGGTGAAAGGTTCGTACAGATGTACATAAGTCGAATTTAATCTTGTTTTAATTTTGCGTTCTGTCGTTTATATGATTCTGTCATTTGTTACTCGTTATTTATTACCTTATTAATTCAATATTACATCGTAGTCAAATTCCTCGTTATTGTCCACTTAATACGTACAAATATGTAAAATATTGACAGCAGAATACTTGTGTAAAGTAAAATATCGCTCGAAAATGTCGTTTTTTCATTTGCGTTGATACTACAATAACCGGGTTTTAATACGTACTATATTATTCTGCATATAAATCATTATAATTTAAATGACAATAATTAAAATAGATAGATTTCTATGATAGACAGAATAGATAAATGGAAATCAATATCAATTTTGACAAAGATATCAGTATTTTCTAGACAATTTGGGAGGGAAAAAACCGGACTCCGACGTATTGAGTTTGTTCTAGTCTTACAGAAATTATAATATTATAATATTAGAAATACAAATTACGAAATTATATTACATTAAATATTAAATTGTAATATCATAATTTGAAAATTAATATTACAATTTTATTGTATAATTCATAGTTTAATGTTAATATCATAATATTATTTACTACTAATATTTATTACTAAATTCAACGATACAATGAATAGTACAAGAAACAAAAGAAAAAAAATTAATTTATTTTTTCGACTATTTAAGAGTTTATTTCGTACTGGATAACATTATAATCAACAATAAAATGATAATTAGAAATTCAAAAAACATATCACAACAAAAATACATCAGAAGATATCTTTAAAGATGAACGCATACTTAATTTGTTACATGGCTCTCATTTGACAT